AGATAACCCTCGTGCAGCTTTGCGCGAAATTCAAAACAAACAAACAAACTCAAACTTATCGAGTGCACTTGTTACACCGATACCATTATGCAGCCTGTTATTATCGTACAATTTTAAAGTAGAAAACGCATACTGACCAATTAACATTATCACATCTAGAGTATGGGAAAGGCAGTGCCGTTTCTCTATGAAAATCTTTTGTACAAATCGTATTGTGTCCATTACTCACGCACAAGTTGAGCTATACAAATATGGGGACATTTAGGAAATACTTACACTGTTAAGCAGACTATTATTGTTAATGATTTGGATTTAAACATCTTTTATAGAAATGACATTATAAAAAAGAGAAAAGTAACATTCATGATTTAGATTATTTCAAAAACTATTGCATTTACAGCGTATCTAAAATACAGGAACAGATGAGTGTCTTATTCAAGGAACAATTAAAAATTTTCCTCTATATATTTTACTAATTTGATAACGCAAGACGATAAACGATTTAACTATTCCGTGAGCGTTTTATAGTAAAGAGTCCTTGTAAAAGCATGTTCAAAATTATGCAGCCGAGCTTCTTTAAAAACCAAATCTTGCTTTATCGAAGTCTCCTCTTTCTGTCATTTTATAGATACCAGTTTTTATAGTACCACAAAAACTTATTCATTTCAACAAAAATATGTCACCTTTGAGTCTGTATCAGTTATTTTAACTTCATAAGTGGGTTTTGTGTAAAAGGAGATTACAATAGTATTAGATCAATGCAATGTTTCTTCAGGTACTTTGCACCGTACCTGTTAATCTTATTTTGAGATATTATAAGATTTTGTTCCTTCAAAAATTCTTATTTAGATAATTTTTTAAGATTAAAATGTTTAAGTGTTATTAAAATACTAAGAAACAAAGATGATATTCGCCATTAGGTGGTTTCTTAGCTGTTCAGATCATATTGTTATAAATAAAATGTCGCAGTTATCCTCTACTGATAAAAAGTATCGCAATTATCAGATAAAGAATGGAAAATAATTTTTTATTCAAAGAATCACTCCAATTTTCATTCACATTTAAAGACGAATGATTTATGAAACTTGGAAACATGAGATAAATTGATAATAATAAATTTTATTTTTATAACGCAAAAATTGAAGATTCGAAACAAATATCAACATTTAAATAAAATTTAAAACTTTGACACTTTATACCAATATTCAGTTCTACAATAGAGGGTGCGTTTTAACTAGTAGTAGTCAACATTTTAAAAATAAAAAATAAATGATAAAAAGAGAAACTTCGTCGCCACTTGACCATTTAAGCTTCTTGAATATCTTCATAACGATTCCATCTTGTTTTGCTTCAAATACTTATTAGTATTGTTAACTTTTTATTTCTCATTATAGTTACTTTTGCACAATACAAATACACATTTTAAATTGTTTTGCTATTTGAAAATATTAGCGACTTTAGGAAAAATATTCTAACACAAAAATGTAATTAAGAAACACAAAGAAACTTTCTGGAAGTGTATTTTAACTTAGTCGAGTTATTTTGTTTCAATAAACTTCTTACACACCCACAACACAATACTACGGCCAACAAAATATCATACACATACACCCCAAGTAGATAATTTATATGTATAACACTAATATTAAATATTTTCACCAATACACGAATTTCAAAACCTTTTTCTGAAACATTTTAGGAAACAACCAAACGCTCTTAAGTTGTCAACAACAAAATGACATTTTCACTAAAACCTCTACCGTACTCCTTTCTTCACAAAGTACTGAAGACCACGGATACATAAACTAGACAATATTAATACAAATACTTTCCAAGAAAATCATGTTTTATATATATTCTTTTCAGTGAAATGGAAACAATTTCCTGCCTTCTACATACTTGAACTCCAGAGGTACGTGATATTCATTACAATAAAACATACACCATTTTGATCACCAATCATTGAAAGTACTCATTCTAACAGCTCTATGAAACCTTGCTTTCACTGAGTTCATCACAAATATATTTATCATATTCAAATTCAGGAATATTGGTGTACATTTGGAACCGTAATATTATTCCTTCAGGGTTCTCATAATTAAGATAATTTCTTCGTCGCATTTTCTTGGCTAGAACTAACTTATTGTCGTTCACTATTGTAATATTTCTTTAAAGTTCTCACAACCACAAAAGGTTTTCCATTGTATTCTTGTGAGTGCAATTAGGTTTCAAACTTAGAGGTATTGCTTGTCCACATCATATAGTAATACTTCCACTTTCGGGTTCTCGAATCTCCGATAATTGTTTCAAACTCGTGGATGCTGTTGTCCTTTCCTCGAGTCTTAAAAATTAGGATAATGCCATTGTCCTATTTTATTAAATATAAGGTTTTTTTTTGTAAAACCATGGATTTATAATTATTCATCCATGTTTTGTTTATTCTGCCTACAGAGAAGTCAAGGTCAGAACCATTCCTTCCGTGGGTTTTTAATTGCTGAAAGGAAATTTGAAAATTAGTGTTATTGTTGTGCACCTTTCCAAACTGTAGTGGTGTATAAGTAGTGCTGAGGAACTATATATATTGACAACATTCTGACTTGTGAGTTGAACTCGTATACTGTTATAAGAGTAAACTGAGAAGAGAAAATACTTTGAAAACATCATTCACTAAAAATTGTCATTGCTCCATCTTAGAGCAAACTGCATTGATGAAGGTAGCCTAAAAACGGTTAGATGTGTTAAAGAGTATACAACAAATAGTTTTGTAAAAACTCTACAAATTTCGTAAAATAACTAAAAGAGTACACTAACTAAAAATATTTTAAAATGAAGATCCAAGATTTCGGGAACTTACCAGCTCTTATCATCAGAGGTACGTCAATGCAGTACGACACAGTTTAAATAAGGTAAGTTAACAGAACTAACTAGAGAGTGGATGATGATGCTTTATTGGGTAGGATGTTTCTTGTCTACAGTTGCCCTCTACCTGAAAATTTTATGAGAAAACAGACAAATATTGCTAGTTCACATGAAAAGTTAGATAGGGAACCCATTACGGTTTTAGATATTATCATTTTTAACAATAACCCCCATGTTTCTCCAAATAACCTTTGTAAAGGTTAATATAATTAAATAGAATGAAAGAGACTTTTTAATTATATAATGGAGTTAATTATAAGTACGTTCTGTCAAAGCTGAATGAGCATTATGTCTTAACTTTAATGTTCTTATGTTTTTTGTTTTAAGATATTTGTAACTTGTTTGCTCTTTTACTTATTTTATGTTTTAGCCAAACTGCTATTGGCTTTTGCCTATATATATATTTCGCGGATCACTTTTTATTTATATAAAAACGTATAGATTTACAGTTAAGTGTGATCTAAAAGGGGATTTTCTGAAAGAAACATCAAATATAATCTCCCAAGGAACCAACAATACTTGCAACCAAGAATAATTTTATCACTTTAGTTAGGCTTTAAGAAAACCTCAATGCTTCGCCAAATTAGGCGTTATACATCAATGTCCACAGATTGTCTCTCTTGATCTTATTCGAACATAGGTTGTTATTCCATCAACTTCGAAGTATAGAGAGTTTCACAATAAGAAGAATTGTTCATACATCCGAAAAGCTTCTTAGTTCTTAAGCCAATAATATTTATTTCTTGTAAAGAGTCTTATATTTAAAAAACGATATTGTATTCTTTATTGAACTAAGAGTCTGAAACTTTTTGAAAGATCACACTATCACATCAACATTCTGGGTTTAGTAAAGTATAAGAAGATGAAGCTACCATTTCATAAACATTATACATTTAGGTGAGCAACATAATAGCAACATCATTAAACCACAATAAGAATGATAATGATTCTAATCACATCATTCTTTATTAGCTTAAACCTCTTATAGAGAAATATCATATCTATTACCCATAATAGAATAGTGTTTCGCAGAACACATGACAATAATTATTCATTAAGATGTTGTAAATATTAATATATCAGCGATCATCCTTTATTACAAGTCTTTCTCACCATCATGAATAATTAATAATTTTATATACAGAAGTTTTCGGTCCTAAGAAGAAGATTTTCAGTGTATTTGAAGTTGCTTTTAATGGTTCTGAGTATTTTAAGTGCTAACAACTTTCTAAGTCACTGAGATCGCCAACTGGAATTATCCATCAATGAACTTCGTAAATGATTAAAATGGAAATATGTTTTGCGATCCTGAATCAATGAAATATTCAATATGCACAACAACAAAAATACTCAAGAACACGTGGATAATTGTTGACAACGTGAGCATAAGGGACAGGAATTGACGAAGAGAGACACTAGTGTTCGAAATCTTTATTCCTCAACAATCATGTTGTCAGGTTGTTCACTCTAGAACATGAAGTTTTTCAGCTATTTCCCTACCAGTGCCTGAGAGGTTATTTTAGTATTTCCACTCCTAGGATGAAGTACGTTTCGCAGGCAACATAAAAACACGTACAATGATTCTCAATATGGTACAAGTCAAAAGTTCTTGGCAATCTGCCATATGATACTTCGTGGTGAACAACAGGCCACAGAAAGAAAATAAGATAAATCAATATTATAAATCAAGTTGATATTGACGTTTTGTCAGTTAATCTGCCTTACAGAAGAATGGCTCATTGAAAAGAAGCCAAATGAAACAGCGCTTAATAATTTAATATATCTAACACTTTTACGCTGTTGATCAGCTCGGTTTTCCCGTTTCGTCATAAGCAACTGACAAAAATATATATGTGAACGATAGCTTTTAATGTTACCAAATAAACATTATTTGGTAGGCCTCTCTCTCTTAATGAATAAACATTACTGGATGGAAAACATATACATTAAACAAATAAAAATGACCGTATCTTATTCTGGACCACTTAGTCCTGAAATTGACACTTATCGACGCATAAGTACTTTATAACGTTATGGAGCTAACGTTCATGGCTCTTGGCTGGACTGTCTCTCGAGATGGACTACACGCCATCGAAGTTGCGAACGACGTAAAGGTGTAAGTAGAACCAGTTCGGATGGTTCCATTTCTTGAAACAGAGCTCTTCATTCTCATTTGGTGGCGTTGAGCACGTTTCCTCAACAAGCATGGGTATAGGCAACGCCCTCTGCAAGAGTGTTCGAGTGATCTGATCAAGCAGCGGCGGATATTGGAAGACATAAAGCAGTAAACAATAGGGTTCAGACAGCTGTGAACAACAGGTAGCAGAAAGAAAACGATTCGAGCTGTATAAATCCAGTGGTTGAAGTGCTGCACGCCGTAGGAAATGTGGATCTCCAGGATCAGACGTGGACCCCAGCACACCAAAAACAGAAACACTACAAGGATCAGCATCTTGATAACCTAGTAGTGAAAATAAAGTAATCTGATTAAAGCGAAATATGGGTTTGGTAAGAAGTAAGTATAACGTGTGAATAGAGAGGGAAAGAGATAAATAGAGGCAAGGCCGAGTAAGGTGGTGGACTATTAGATAAGTAGGCTAGTAAATAAGCACAGAAATGCTGTTAAATAGTCAGACGGGTTAGGTACAAAAAGTAACTTTGATACTTTGTAGACAGACTGATGAAAGTGAAAACTGGTAGATAGGTAGTGGATGTGAAATAAGATAGGCAAGTAAATAAACAAGTGATGAAACTTATCAATTGTGATAGACAGGTTAACTGATGGGTTGTTGTTGTTTGTTATTAATAACAAAGCTACACAAAGGGCTATCTGTGCTCTGCCCACCACGGGTATCGAAACGCGGTTTCTAGTAGTATAAGTCCGCAGACATACCACCGTGCCACTGGGAAATAGCTGATGAGTGGGAAGTACAGAAGTTAGGTAAAAAAAAAAGTAGCGACACCTATCAAACAGTACTTAATAAAAGTTTCGGTCGACCACGAGTAGCCAAAACTTCACCTATTCAACGTTCTATTGTATCAGCAATGTTCTTTAGTGTTTGTAATACTATACGCGGTATTCTTTCATGAATACAGTTTCTAAATCTTGAAGAGATGAAGGAAGTGGATATCGGTTGCGAAGCTGACTTCAAGAATGTACCGCGAAAGACTGATAATGTTAAAATCTATGGATTAGACAGACTACAGTAGCTGTCCGAAATTATTTTCCTATTCCACAAACTGTTCTTTAGCGATGCAAGCGCTGTATGTGGGTGTATTGTCGTCATTGGATTACTAACGTTTATGGGGATAATCAAAGTGTACCATGAGTAATAACTGATCTACAATAATTCCCAGGTAGTGATATTCTTGTTGCCTGCACGTAACAGAAATTATAGGACTAAGTACATGTAAAAAACATGCTGTCCCCAGGTACCGAAATACTTGTAGCCTGCTTTGACACAAGTTATAGGACCAAGTCCAGGTTAACAAAATGCTATTCCCAGCTACTGATATGTTTGTAGACTGCATTTGAGAGAAATTATTGGAACAAGTCCATGTCTGTTTGTTTGTTTGTAATTAAGCACAAAGCTAAACAATGGGCTATCTGTGCTCTGCTTACCACGGGTATCGAAACCGGGATACTAGCGTTGTAAGTCCGCAGACATACCGCTGTGCCACTTTGGAGGGGCAAGCCCATGTCAACAACATGCTGTCCTCCAGGTACCGAAATGCTTGTAGCCTGCTTTTGACATAAATTATAGGACCACGTCCACGTCAACAACATGCTGTCCCCAGGTACTGATATGCTTGTAGCCTGCATTTAACATAGATTGTTGCGTTTGTGGAATGTTGCCCGGCCATGGTATTCTTACTTTGTGAAGTTATGACTGATACAGATTGATATTTGGTTACATATACTTCCTTAGTTACTTTTGTTGCTATGATCTATACAATGTTGCTTTTTCATACAATATTCTGGATGTAAACCATTTGTAACTGCTGTTACTCCTTGTAACTGAGGTTTACAGGATTGGTTTTTCATCCAGTCTCAGCCGGGAGATTGTTACCCTTCTTTGGACATCTGACAGGTCGGCTGCCTTGCTCATCAGGATAATTACACCTTTATATAACACTGAGTACGTTACTAGAAATATAAATAGACAGTTAATTGCTTAGTTACGCGAAGTATAGTCTCAGTAAACCATTGGGAACATGGTTATTAAGGCCAGGTGTTTCTACTTTTTCTGTCTATCTTTGTAGGATTGATGATTATATAGAATAATGGGGGTGACATCTTTTGTTTATTCCGTTAAATGGGAAGTAATTAAGATAGATGACAGATTAATAAAGGGGTATCTTGTAAACAGTTGAGGATCAAATAAGTTATACAAGTAAATAGAAGCGTGATGAAGTGGGAAGTAAGTTTAATAAATACCTAGAAAAATTGAAAAAGAGAGATCTTGTGGATAGGTTTTCAGAGAAATGCGAAGTCTATAAGTTGACAATACGTTGGGAGCAAGTTTAGTTAATAGTTAAGTAGGCAGACAACTAAGAAAAAGCAACTGATAATATGTAGTGCGGAAAGGCTTAGTACGTATATTAGTATCTACTAAAAGAGTAGAAAGATCTTAATATAAAATGGCGGAGACTTTAGGAAGCTCCTTGATGTAGTAAATTGTAATATTCTGTCAATAAACCTTTGAAAAAATGAAATTTTCACTTTTATGTATAAAAATTGGTGTTTGAAACATTAATGTAATTGAAGGATGTATGTTATTCTCTGCAAAATCCTTACACTACTTTGGTATTTAACGAACGCGAAGTAGTTTTTTATCACGTGAGCAATAATACATATTTTTATTGGTTCTTCGTTGCTTGGAAGCACTTTTTTTTAGTCCGTGAGGCGCTAACGTTAATTAAACAAGTCGAATGTTATAAAAACTTTCATGTTGGTCTGAATTAATTACTAAATTTCAGAAAGTTCAGAACGTTCGAAAAACTATGTTTAATTAATGGTTTTTTTCAGAGACGTATTTCCAATAAGATGTAGGATTAATTTTCATTTACATCAATAAAAGATATTATTACAAAAAAAAAGTGATTTTGAAACTAGTTTTCATATTCTTTTTCTTTTCTGGCTTGGCAGGTTACTTGTATTTTCCTCCTTAACGAACTATTTCACAAATATTGTTTTGTTTTAACTCAAGGGATGTAAATTGACAATACTTTATAAGAATTCTATATGTATTTTATTCGTTATCACAGATATTTCAATGATATAATGTTACACTTCCCGATGCTACATTAACTCACCATAAACAAGTTAACATTTTTTTAGAATATAGATTTCCTAAGATTTGTATATTTAATCCCAGTAAAGTTAAATACAGATTGTTTATATAGTTCCTTAAACAGTAAATTTAAATACAGAATTTTCAAATAATTCCTTAAGTTACACATAGGTTATCTATTCTATTTATATGTTACAGTAAAGTTATATACATATTGTTTACTTAACTCCTTAAGCTGTACATAGGTTATTTATACTACTTACACAGTACAGTTAGATATATCTCTATTCAAATATCGTAGCGCAGTGATTTGCGTGCCTGACTATAAATCTAAATGTCAATAGTTCGCCGCAAAAACACGCTCTTCACTTTGGGCTGTGGATGTGATAAGAGTGACAGTCAAATCCGACCATCCGATTAGGGGTAGTCAAACAGTTAGCGATGAGTGCTATTGACAAGATGCGTTCCCTCTATATATACCTAATGAAAAACATCTTAGGTGTGAAAAAAGGTGCGGCCAAAAATAGGATTTAGCGTGAAACTTAATGGAATGAAATCAAAATTGGCGGCTAAACTGGTATCTGTACTTATAACATTGATAAGAATTTTACAGCAAATATTCATTCAATAGTTAGCCAGGACTAGTTTTTTGTTCATCGTGGGGCACGATGATGGGTAAAACAAAATACGATTAGATATGATTAATAAGTATGATTTGATATCATGACTTTTTGTCAATACACACCAACAGACCACAGCAAGCAAGAAAGTGACACCCGATAGTAACCAACGTTAGCTTTAGGATCGCAAACCTATTATTCGGAACAGACCTATACTTTACAGAACAAACCAGATTATTTAAAATATATGGTGGTAGTTTTCCTCTCTAAAACTTTGTTAATAGCTTTCTTTATAGTAACGCTATGGAATTTAGATTAACAGTTTGTTGTCATCATCCCTCATGTAATCGGTACAGCCGTATCAAGCATCATTATTTATGGTAGTTGTTTAAGCTAATATCACGTGACGCTAAACGCTCATTATTTAGGAGAATTTCATAAAATTTAGTATATTTGTGCTGAAAAGTTGGCAATGGATAATCAATAATAACCGTCGACCTGTATGATTCTTTTGAAAACTTGAGCTAGAAACTACTAATTTAGCTTGCTTGGCCTAACCAATACATATATATCTGCACATCCTTTCATTATATAGTTTTGCTGCTCCAAATCAGCCGTCTTTATTTGGAATGACAAAAAAACTAAAAGCAGTCCACTTTTATTCTTAGATGAAACTGTATTAAAAATGTTAGACCGATAGCTCACGTGACTTTTTGCGTAGGTGTGCACAAAATTTTCGTTAAATTTGAGCGGTTTTTGTTCAATAACTTTGCACACGTAGCTTATATTTAGATTACATTTGACACATAATTGTAGATTTTAACGTTCTATAAGTGTATCAAATTTGAACAAAATCCATAAAAGTTAAGTATGTTAAATAAGTTCCGTACTTTCGGATGGCCCGGCATGACCAGGTGGTTAGGGCGCTCGTCTCGCAATCTGAGGGTCGTGGGTTCGAGTCCCACCAAACATGCTCGCCTTTGCAGCCGTGGGGGCGTTATAATGTGACGGTCAATCCCACTATTCGTTAGCAAAAGAGTAGCCCACTGCTAAATTAGGGACGGCTAGCGCAGATAGCCCTCGTGTGGCATTGCGCAAAAATTCAAAACAAACAAACCGTATTTTCGGTGCGAATAAAAAAATTAAAAAGGAAAAATTCAATCAAACTTGGAGATTTTATTTCTCGTGAATTTCTTAATGCTGGTATGTGAAGTAATAGTCCATAGTCCAGTTGAGCACATCCACTGAAGATATGTGATAGTTTGGATTACCACAGTCCAGAAACTACAGAAATTTTGAAATAATAAAACTCTTGTTAATAACACATAGTGTGTCCTGAAGGTTATTTTGGCCGCACGACCCACTGTCGTGTGTCTTGATATCATAAACTACATGTATAATGGCTGAAGAACTACATGTATATCTTACTATTGGTTGAATTATAATTTATCTTTCAACTTTAAACAATTTTCCAGTATTTCACCTGTGGTTTTAATTTAAACAGGCATATCCATTATTAATATTTCATAAACGCGACTTTACGACTTATTACATCTGTGGTTGATGACATCTGCCTCTGCCTTTCCATCGACTTGTTGTCTTTATTGACAGCTACAGGTTATGAGGTTATAGACCCCCTGTCACATGAAATATAAAGCAGGAATGAACTTTGTCTGCCTGATCTTAATTAACTGACATACAGAAGCAACCGGTCACATGAAACATAAAGCAGGAATAAACTTGGTTTGTCTAATCTTAACTGGCTGACACGTAGAAGCAACCGGTCACATGAAACATAAAGCAGGAATAAACTTGGTTTGTCTGATCTTAACTGGCTGACGTGTAGATGCAACACCACTTTTCAGGTAGAGAGAGAGATTCTTTATACAACTAAGCTTTGATCTTAAAGTAGTCTGCATCGAGATCTTAAGATAGCTTGCTTGTGTCTGTATACTTCATTGCTAGAAGGCGACTGTAAGAAGCATATTTGATTTTATAACTGTTCTGCTAGTGATAAGCGCATTATTTTGAGTTGTAATGTGATACTGCGTTGTGTTAACATTTTTGTTAAATACGAACTGTTCTTATTTTTTGAAAATCTTGACTCATACACTTTCAATCACTTAGTCTCACATGACTAACAAATCCCAGAGAACCTCTTATTTTTCAGATCTAGTTATCGATGTGCATACATTATTTAGATCGAATCCACACTTCACTAAAGCAACAAATTAATACTGAACATTGTTAACTTGTGACTATATATATAATCATAAAGTAACATAGTCAATTAATTTAACATTGTTAACTTGTGACTTATATATAATCATAAAGTAACATAGTAAATTTGAGATTTATAATGACAGACTAATATCTTTCACGTAGCAATAGTCTTATAACGAGTCACAATAAACATAGGGAGTCACTTTGCAACGGTACACTCTCAATTATAAAGCAACAGACTTATGTTTAGTCACGCAACAATAGTTTAATATTATGCCACCTTTAAATTTTACTTGCGCTATATTACAGTGTTATTAGAATCAAAATCATGGGATAAGTGTGATAAAAAAGTATAATGTATTGTTTTCTAGGTTTCTCGGATATTGTGAGTAAAATCCAAATGTTTATTGGAATTGCAGTAACCTTGAAAATATATTTTATAGTAAGTATTAAACATTTAAATGAGATAATTATCCGATTCCATAATAAACAAACCAAGTGATAGTAATAAAGTTGTTTACGGTGGAGATTCACTCTCATCAAAGAACCAGCCTTTTTTTTTGTATGTTCTCAACAGTAATTATAATACATGCACGTTAATCAAGAGCAAATTTACATTAACTCAAGAAGTTTGGAAAGATCATCAATAATGTTAAAGCATATTTTCAATCATATATTCATTGAGTGTTATCGTACTCTGTAAGGGCTATATGCTCCATAGGTGCGATCCGTGGCGTTACGGGCTAAATGGTTAACGCCTGAGTAGTATTAGGTGGAGGGTTTTGTGATTGATTTTTATGAAAAGAATGTTCATATAGTGAAACTGTTGAACGACTTAGAGCCAAAAGACAATATAATTTAAAAAAAAAAGAACCATCAGTGTTATCCATGGAAAGAGACAAATCCGCACAGCGAAATACTTAAGAAAATAAAAGTGCTCAAAATCTGTAGCAACACCTTTATCTAACCTAAGGAAGCCGTTTTGGCGAAGCTAGACATATCTGTCGGAACCGTTAGCAAGATAACAAACAAAGATTTGAAGTTGGCGAAGGCTCACCAACTCAAAATTCACGAGCTTAAGCCACACAACGAAATCAGCGGCTGTTCTTCCTGAGAAAGATGGAAGTAATTGGAACCATCATAGTAAGCCTATTCAACCATTCACCTGCCAAGTCTCCCGACACAGCTACAACAGACTTTTCTGCCTTGGTGTTCTTGAACGTGGTCTTTATAGATGATGCTCACATGCAGTTGACGAGTCTGTGGTCAAAGATTGACTTAATTATCTTTTGCAGGAGGTTGGTATAAAAATAAAATAAGATGAAAAGCTAGGTTACAGAGCGTTGTTTCACAATACTGATTATTAGACTAAGCAGGTCGATGATTAAAAAGTAAGTCCAAGGTTAGAATATCATTCTTATAATGTACGATTAACCATAGGATTATGATAAAATTACACTGATTAATTAGTTAGATGTTCCTGCTACTAGCAAACGTTTCGAGCACAGGAGTTACTATACAAGAAAAAAAATCTAATAAAACACCTGCCTGCTTTCGAGCTCGTTTGACGTCGCGACTGTCAGTTGTGGTGTGACTGCGCAGAATCATTCGGTGAGGTTGAAGGGAAGGAGAGTGAGTTTCTTGGTTGATACCAACATGTAACTCCATGCGTCTTAGCTTCTGGTCACTTGAAATTGAAGAAAACAAAATTTTCCTTTAAGATTCTTCAAGAAATGAAAATGGTTTATTTGTTATTCATAAAAATGGTTTAGGAAAGTTTTATTTGAAGCACCTAATTTTCTGCGATAATTGTTTTTACTATTATATTATTTTGTTTTATTGGAAAGAGGTGTAATTAAGAATACAAGGATATTTGACTTTTTAGCTGCGGCACATAGAATGGCTTTGAGTTTTTCAAGTACAAACTTTTAGCTCATAGTTCCGTCATCTTTTGACCAATTTGAGATCTAGTTACAGTTTTCGACTCAGAAGGTCAAACCTTTTTGATTGATGTATTTAACCATGCCCAAGGTCTCATAAATTAATTTACTCTAATCCTGCCTAAAATAATTTTAATTTGAGGACAGGCTGATAAAGATCTTTATGAGTAATAAAATCGAATCGGGTATACGCGCGCCCCACGCTTGGTATTGCTGGCGCACAAAAATATAGCTAATAAAGAGGGAAAAAAAGTCTCATTGATTCTAATCCTGCCTAAAAGAATTTCAAGTGCATTGATTACTGAGGATTTCCTCTTGTTTCTTTAACAATTGTATCGTTTTAAAGAACAATATCCTAAATGGTTATAGAGATAAAGCTAGAAAACCAGTAAATAGGAAAAGAAATATTGTCAAGAAGAGTGAACCAATGAATGAACATATATTAGTGTTAAAAATATTACTTGATTTTACTAGTGTAATATTCGTCTGCTACTGTCTTTGAAGATATCTTCACGCGAGATATGCCTACGAACATGAAGAATATAGAAGTAAAGAAACGAGCGTGCTGTCCCTCAGTGGGACAGCGATAAGTCTTCGGAGTTACAACGCTAAAATCAGGGATTCGATTCCCCTTGGTTGACATAGCAGATCGCCCGATGTGGCTTCGCTATAACAAAACATACACACACAATCAACGTGTTGTTTATTAACTTGCTTATATGAAGTGTGTTTATTGATGAAAGTGGTTCTTATTGATTGGGTGTTCTTCTGAATCCAAGTGTCGAAACACAAGCAAAAGACACATCTGTCAACTTATTTGTTGACTACTTACTAGGCCACATATATATGATTGAATTATCGGCAGCCAATCAGTGCATATCAATCTTTGGGAATCAACTCTTGAATTACCTAGACTCTGTGACAATCTAAAAATTTTCGAGCTAGCATCAAAACATTCTTTGTTTATTTATTGTTAGGACTTTGCGCTCTGTCCACCACAGGAAATCGAACCCCGGATTTTAGCGTTGCAAGTCCGTAAACTTACCGTTGACCCATTGGGGGACCAAAGCATAAACGAATACAACGGATTTCGACAGTCTTGTACAAATATTATTTTCATCATCGCAATGTGACAAACCGATTTTAAATTATTTAAATTAATATTGAGGTTTCAAAGGTGACTTTGCAGTAGCGTTAGTCTGTATAAACATATAGAATTTTTAATATGGAAGTTGAATAGTTTTTTTAATTATCACTGATAATTATTCAAGCATTCAACAACAACAACGAATTGAATCAGAGAAGTTCATCCAAAGATTATTGTATTAGTACATGTTTATCATCGCATAATTCAAATTTTGGCAAATACGTTTTTGTTATGTTTTCTTAAGTCTTAGTTTCTTACGTTTCACAATAATATATGCAAATGTTTTAGAACTACCAGTGTGGCTTTGCGGTTAAACACAAAACTCCGTCAATAAAATGTTATATGTGCGATGAGTAATGAATTAGAAAATAATAATAGAGAAAATTTCTAAATAGACTGGTTATATCGGTACTTTAGCACACCTTGAGGATAAGACAGACGGATGTCTATGTTTTAAGTGCTTCAACAGCCTTGAAGTTGTGAAAGTGTACACCAGATTGATGTTACATAACCTAGATTCGGATTTTGTTTTTTCCAATTTAAGTTTCCGAAGAATTCTCATACACCACTGCACCTATCTGTGATGTGAAATTGCCTTCTGGATCCAAAGAATATGTACGCTAAAGCTGTCACATAATACACATGGAATGCGTGGGATTGTCTTGAAATTTGAAATAAATAGTGGGAAGCGAAAAAAAGAAAGGAAGGATAGTATTGCGAAAGATTTTACAGACGTTATGAAACTCAACTAATAGACACTCGAATACTTATTTGCAATTCGAATATTTAACACTTCGTATTCTTATTCGAAAGTGTGGATATTCGTTTCAGAATATACACAATATGTATAAAGAATATATATAATATGTATAAAAATATATAAAATAATATATATATAATATGTGTAAAAGTGTACGCTTTTGAAACTCCAAACATATAAATATTCAATCTATTCACGTATGTATATATATATATATATATATATATATATATATGGATAAAAAGTAATACGTAAAATATAGGAAGCAAAGAAAATCCATGAAATTGAGAAATTTACTCTCTTCTTCTTTAGGGGCGGATTTTTCTTTCATTACGAGTGTTCTTCTTGTACACGTAAACGTTCAAAATGCAGATGTTGCAAAAATGCGCACTTTAAATTACATCTAAATAATCAGGAATTGAATTCCACAATAACGAATAATGAGCAAAACAGTTTTAAAAAATTATGAAAGCAAGCTTTCAAAAACAGAATGATGAAAATGTTAACTTATATAAGAATTGTCCTTAATTTCAAGATTTCTTTCATTATTTTACTTACTTCCTATGATTCGTTAGTTCATCCATAGTTTTCGTACTAATCCAGAGTTCGATGATCACCCAGGCGTAACAAATTATCATTAATACCAACGGTAGGCCAAACAGCGCCACTAAGCGGTAGATAGCGACAGCAGATCCACGCCAGTCTTTATGTTCTTTACAGGAAAACAGCATAACGGTGATCTCGTAATTGGTCATAGTTGTTTTTTCAGTGCTCTGTGAATTCACAGAGGAAGAAGCGTGGGTAAAAAACTTCAGCAGTTAAACCATAAGAAATCGCTACTGGAATTTAAAGAAATTCACAGATTAGACCAAAACACATTTATGAAAATGACAAAAAAAGGCCTTAAACTCCAGATTGGATATTACTAGCTTTATTTCTGACATTTCGTCTTTAGATATCTTCAGGAACGTCTGCAGAAAACATATTAACAAATGAAACTGCAAAAAATAAGGTAACTTATAGACCATAAAGAAAGCCTGAAGGGTAGTTCAAGCAGCTCCCATTCTCGCGTCATTATTGATAAAGAACTCACTGTTAAAAATATAATACTGATTGTTTAGTTCACATGTGAATTTGAAACTGTAGATATTGGTTCAGCATATTTATAATAAATAATATATATATATAATATATAAAAGGAGATATTAACAAATATTGTCTAAGTAAGAACAAAAACAAAATAAAACTTTGATGCTTATTTTATGCCGGATTCATCAGTAATCTATTTTTTACCTAAAGATGGAAACAGCATAATTAATTTTAAGTTTGCCCTGGTTACATTTCGAAATTGATATTTGACTAATGTAGCCAACGGCGTTACTACCTTTTATCTCCATCCCAAATACTCCATTTCTATCCCAAATAGTATCGTAAATAATGTTTGTATTGTTATTTTCCAAAATCCCCCCCCCCCCACCAACAGGTATCTGGTATCGTTTTTTCTAAAATAGATATTAAGTACTGTGTTAAACAGTTTTCAAGAAGAAATATTCAGAACCACGATTCGAACAGCTCTCTTGTTTGTTTACTGGATATAAAGTTTCTTTATGGTTTCTGTTAAAAAGAGGAACATCTACACAATATGGTAACTGTGAAAATAATTAATTTTGTGGTATTCCATAACTGTTATGTTAATGTTTGGAAAATGAGCCTTATGCTTTACTAGCGTTTGGTTTTACCCCAGTTATTCGTAAATTTTAACTCTTACAGGATTGCTTGTTTCACCTATATAAAGAACCCCACGGTCGAAACAAGTCACATGACAATTGGCGTTCCTCATTTCACAAATCGTTTTAGACAAACTAACTTTACATAAAATCATAAATAATATTCAACGTTAAACTGGTACACAATTAAAAAAATTTTATTTAGGCCTATCTGTTGCGTCCCAAGCAAGTTGTAAATTAAAATAGTT